TACTCTCTCTCTCTCTCTCTCTCTCTCTCGCTATCTATCTCTCTCTCTAGAAACCGTTGTCCCCAAGCTTTCTTACACTTGAAGACCACTGTCACTCTCATGATTCTGGTTTAGATAAACCGTTTTATCTAAGCTTTCTCACTCATCAGAGGCCATCTTCTTCTCTCTCTCTAGCAGAAGATGCAGGGGAATAGGAGAAAATGCAGGAACGAGGTCCTCCCGGGCTCACCTAGAAACAATAAAATGGAAATTGAGAGTGGTAAAGGAAATGGCGTTAACGGAATTAATGGAGATAACACTGATCCTAACAATTTGAATGGTAAGGAGAGCAATGGTGGTCGTCGTGTTTACAACACAAGGCTTCGAAAGAGCCAGACAATTCCGATCAGTGAGAAAAAGAGTAGCAGGTTTGATGATAGAAGCCCAATTGATCTAAGAAAGAATTCATCTCAATTTGGTACTTCTCGAGAGAGAAAGGTGACTAAGAGTTTGAGTTTTGCGGGGGCTAATTGTGATAGTCCAAAATCAGAGAGAAGATCGATCATACAAGTGGAAGAAGATCACCAGGAATTTGGGGCTTGTAGAGAGAGAGTTGTGACCAAAAGGTCGAGCAATTCTGGGGCTAATTGTGATGGTTACAACTCAGAGAGAAGATTGGTAATGGAAGAGGAAGAAGAGGAGGCTGGGGAATCTAGAGAGAGAAATGTTACTGAAAATTTGAGCAATGTGGGGGTTAATTGTGACAAAGCTCAGAGAAAATTGGCAATGGAAGAAGAAGAAGACATGGAAGAAGAAGCTGGTCTTTCGGGAGAGAGAACGATTACCAAAATTTTGAGTAATTTGGAGGTCCACAGTGACCAGTCTGAGAGAAATGAAGCAGATTTGGAACTAGATGCAGCAGATTGGGAACTAGAAGGCGAAGAAGAGAGAGAAGAAGAATTTGAGGAAGAGGAAGAGAGCTTTGATATAAAAGAAGTGAATGAACCAGTAGAAACACTGGTAAAGAAGAAAGAGAAATCAGTTAGTGAAATCGCAATTTCCTCCATCGTGGAAGAAAACCCAATTCCCACTCTAATTGATTGCTCTGATCCACCAGTAACTGTTGCTGATCTCCCAGAAATTCCACCATGTAAGTAAAAGCTCTCTTGATTCACCATTTCCTCTTTCTAGTTTCCGATTTTTCTTAACGAGTTTCTGTATTTGTTTCAGTTCCAGAAACACATGAGAAATTCCCAGAAACCCAAAGCCGGATGCAGAATCTTGGTGAGTTCTCTCTCTCTCTCTCTAACGCACAGACATTGGTGGGTCTCTCTCTCAAACATACACTCATATTGGTGGTCTCTCGCTCTCTCTCACAACATACATTGGTGGACTTTCTCTCTCCCCCCTCCAGAGCAATCTCTCTCTCTCTCTCTCTCTCTCTCTCTCCAGAAAACACACACATTGGTGGGTCTCACTCTATTTCTCTCTAAAACGTTCTGTTTTTTAAAATCTGTTATTTTCTTTTGATATCAGTGGATATGGTAATGTGGAGGGATATTTCAAGATCTGCTTTTGTATTTGGGTCTGGCTCATTCCTGCTCATCTCATCTTCCTACACCAAAGATTTAAACTTCAGGTAAAGGACCCCATCTCTCTCTCTCTCTCTCTGCTAAATTCCATTCATAAACAAACAATAAAGCTTTTTCTTTTTTTCTGGTTTTCACAGCTTGATCTCTGCAATTTCCTATGTGGGTCTTTTGTACTTGGCTGCAGTGTTCTTTGCCAGGTCCATTCTTTGCAGGTACCATTATTAGAAAGAAGAAAACCCAAAAGTTTCCATTGTTTTTCTCCATCAAAGACCTGAGCCAGGGACACTGATACTGTAATTACTTTTTCTTCTTTTTTTCTTTTAACAGGGGAGTCATGGATTCAGGAAGCAGCAAAAGGATTTATGATTTAGGAGAAGAAGATGCTATTTGGTTGCTAAAATTGGTCCTTCCTTATGTGAATGAGATCTTATTGAAGCTTAGAGAACTCTTTTCTGGTGACCCTGCAACAACCATGAAGGTATAATGTGTGTGTGTGTGTGTGTGTGTGTGTGAGAGAGAGAGAGAGAGAGAGAGAGAGAGAGAGAGAGAGAGAGAGAGAGAGAGAGAGAGAGAGTAGTAGTAGTA